CCCCCCCCCCCCCCCCTCCCACTATTCCATAATTCTTGGTTTTCACCTACGTCATCATGAATTTCAAAAGCGTAAATTCGCATCATAATGAAATAAAAGTTTTATATTCTTGTAAAGCGGTCCAAACTACATATTCTGGGCAAATTTCGAGGCTGTAAAGCATTTCGTTGCGGAACTATAGACGAGTAAATATGACGCAAGTTGGTACACCATCATGGCGGACGAAATTTCAAAGGCTTAAGATGATAGAATATTAATATTTTTGACTATATTTCACTTAAATATACCTTAAATAGATATTTTAAACGTGACTAAGGGAAAATCTTCCAACTATGTTAAATTATTTTACTAGGGGTCCATTCCTGCCTATGTATCATTGAGCCCCCTTACTTTTGCCCACTCCCCTCCATAAAGCTCCCTACTGCAAGGGGTCCGTTACTACCCTTTATCAAGAATGGTTCCTTATCGCGAGGGGTCCAGATCATATAACCATGAATTCCCAAGGAATCAAATAAATGATTAGTAATCCCTACATAAATCGCATTATAATGCATATTACCATGAATTCCCAAGGAATCAAATAAATGATTAGTAATCCCTATATAAATAGCATTATGACGCATATTGCATGACGGTCACGACATCGTGACGTACGCCGGTCCATGACAAATCCACCGAATAAGAAAATGATGTAATCTTACTACGTTCGCTCTAAAAAACCCTCTAAATTTCTTGGTAACTCAAATATCTTTTCCAAGAAAAAATTGCTTAATACTTTCATTTTTTCTGTGTATTGTACGCAGTCCAAGCAGAATAAAGAGTAACGGCTTGGTAATTGGATATTTACTTAACATTTCTTGGAAGACAGTTCAATCATCTGTAACCAAAACTTTACTAACCCTCCCCTATAATTTTTAAACTTTCGACTTTTCTCTGCTGCTTCTTGTTTGACATGATTTTTACTTCATAATATGTCTTACAATTCTAAATTTATAATTCAAATGGTTAGCTTTGTTTAAAAAAAAAGGATTTGTAGAGAATTTTACGGTCTATCGCCTTTCCCTCCCCTCCCCCGTAATTATTCATTGACGTCGTCTTTATATTAAGGCAGGTGTGGAGTTTATGCATGATTTGCATGATTTGAAGGCGCTGTGTTTTTCTCATCAATAGGGAACCAAAACTACCAAGACTTCGACTTCGAGGTAACTCAATAGCATCCTTTATAACTCTTTCCTACTTTAAGAATTAAATTTCGACGGTAAAGCTTCGTTTTGAAGCGAAAAATAAGTTGTCAAGTTGAATGTTTTGTAACTCGAGGTCGATGGAGTTATTCGCTTTCTAGGAAATTGTGCATGGCCGTTTGTCTTGTTAAGCCTTTCAACTCCTAAAATAAGCTTTCTTTTTGCAACAAAGGTGAAACAGTAAAAGCCGTTTCTCTTTAGCTTAGGTCAAAATTCAACATAGAATAAGGACTTGGCAAAGTTTATCAGTCAATGCTGAAGCGAAAGCAAGATAACGTTTGTTTCCCTCACAGAATTGGCGCCCAAAAGCACACGTTTGAAAAACAATTGTCCGTGAGACGCCAACTTTTGCGTACAGAAGTCTTCAAAATACGTCGATAGAATATTTAAAACCCGTTTTCAGCGGTGACAGAGCAGGTTTTTTATTTCATTTTTTATTTGCAGTAGTAGATACACAAAGCAGCCCATCCTAAGTGACTCACGCCCATCAATGTACCTTCCTCAATATCCCTTCTTCACAACCACTTTATCAAATTGAAATAATTTAGCATCTGTCAAAAAAGTTCTGATCAAAAAAATATAAAGTGTTTGTGCTAAAGTTGTAATTTTTTGTATAGTTTCACTGACATATTTCTATTCTGGGTCATTTGTTTTTCTCAGCTTGTGCGCATACCATAAATTTAATAAGCTATATGTTTACAAATAATATTTAAATATTTAAACTTCATACTAATGAAGTCATGTATTCAAGAAGCTAGAAAGTAATTTGACTTTTAAATTTCTTAAAAAAGTAAAAATGTGTGCGATTAAAAGTTTTATTTTAGATTTATTCATATTTTTTAACAGTTGGTTTCACATTACTATATGCCTTCAGGTTCAGAACAGAAATTCCTACTTTGGCAACCAACTTCGGAACTTGAAAACAAAGTTCATTATGAACTTCGGGACTTCCTGACGAAGTTCAGGAATTGGTTGGCTTATTTTGCAGCAAACGAACTTGATTTTCAACTGGGAGCTTCCTGATTTCCTTTCGGATATTCATTCGGGAACATCAAATTCTATACACTAACCAAGTTCCAGATTTCAACAGGAAGTTCTAAATTTCAAAACGAACTTAGTTTTGAATTCCGAAGTTGTTCACCAACTTTCCGAACGATATAGTTTGGAAACTGAAGGTGTAAAGTAGCACAAAACGGACTGTAAATGTAGAAAATACATTTCAGTATAGTGGGAGGGGATGAGACAGCAACAGCACAAAGAAAATTGCAAAAAATTGTATTTTTTAAAGCTTAGAAAAGCAATTACATCCACCAAATATTGAGCTACATATTGTAGGATAGGCATGAGTTTACATAATGTTTTGAAAACAGACATATTAGAGTTATCAATCCAGATGCAGAGTAAAACTAGTCTAAATTCTTATCTCAGGTATATTTTGAGCAACAACTGTTCATTAACGAACAGAGACAGTGGTAGGAGTTTACCATCAAGTTATTTACCGCCACTAGAGTATGACCAAATTTTTTCTTTAATTATTTAGTAACATTGCACAGGCTGGGAAAAGATTCAAAGTCCACGCGAGCTCAGCCTGAGACAAGATACATGTACATATAAACTATATTTAAACAAAAATACATTAAAATATAAAATGAAAGTAAAGCTAAAATAATAAATATATACTAGAGGCGTCAGCGACAGCAAACAGCAGAGATATTAGTGGATCGGCATTTGGAACAAACCATTTTATAAGATCTGATACGATCAGGGTCAAAAGCAGAGAGCAAGAGAGAAGAATAGTGAGATCGCAGAAGTGTTTTAAAAGAGGAAACTAAATTAGAAGACTTAATCGTGGAGGGCAGCGAGTTCCACAAGAAAACAGTGAAATACAATTTTTGGTGGTCATGTTCGTCAAACTATAAATTTGACAGTCACATCAAAGTATCAAGAAATTAAGAATGCTAAACTCTATTTCATTATGCACATCCCCCAGTCCTCCCCCCATGAAATTAAACATACTTAACTCCTCCACTCCCCCCCGCCCCCCCCAATACATTAGACTAAGCAACTATTCCAGTGCAACTATTATAACTGGGGTCAATTCAACTGCAAGAACCAATCAAATTGTAGAATAAAAACAATACATTCCAACTTTGGGTAGTGRAGCCAATCAGAAACCTAGGTTGCACGAGGATTGTAATTTGACCCTGATGATACTTGTAAACAATGTAAACAAAATATGTGTCGAAAGGTTATTATTTTCTGCTGATTTCTGATTGGCTCCACTACCCAAACATGGAATGTATTGCTTTTATTCTACAATTTGATTGGTTCTCACCATCAAAATGGCCCCAGTTATAGTAGTTACACTGTAATAGTTGCATAGTCTTATGTACTGTTTCAGGATTTACCTTGATCGGGATAGATCTCTTAAACTCTAGTTAATTGGCTTATTAATATTTCTTTTTATATTTCCAGTAAATAGTAGCTAAATTATCAATCGCTGAAAATGGGTGTTGAAGGCGCAGCTCGGTGTATCAAGTTCCTTGTCTTCATCTTCAACTTTCTCTTCTTCGTAAGTAGACCAGTCTGGAACTTCTTTAAACTAAGGGGTATTTATACTAAGGGGTTAGTGTTGAGATTATCATGGTCATTATTTGTTAGAATAATAGTGGTGGTTATGATAGTGGTGGTGGTGATGATAATGATAATGATTATTAATAATCATCTGTGCATGAGTGAGTGGTTGGTAAGGTGTCAGGGAGGGGTTGGTAAGGTGTCAGGGAGGGGTTGGTGAGGTGTCAGTGAGTGGTTGGTAAGGTGTCAGTGAGTGGTTGGTGAGGTGTCAGGGAGGGGTTGGTGAGGTGTCAGTGAGTGGTTGGTAAGGTGTCAGTGAGTGGTTGGTAAGGTGTCAGTGAGTGGTTNGGTTGGTAAGGTGTCAGTGAGTGGTTGGTAAGGTGTCAGTGAGTGGTTTTTGAGGTGTCAGTGAGTGGTTGGTAAGGTGTCAGTGAGTGGTTGGTGAGGTGTCGGGGAGGGGTTGGTGAGGTGTCAATGAGTGGTTGGTAAGGTGTCAGTGAGTGGTTGGTAAGGTGCAGTGAGTGGTTGGTAAGGTGTCAGAGAGGGGTTGGTAAGGGGTCTGAGAGTGGTTGGTAAGGTGTCAGTGAGTGGTTGGTGAGGTGTCAGGGATGGGTTGGTGAGGTGTCAGTGAGTGGTTGGTAAGGTGTCTAAGGGGTTGGGTAGGCGTCAGTGAGGGGTTGGTGAAGTGTCAGTGAGTGGTTGGTGAGATGTCTAAGGGGTTGGGTAGGCGTCAGTGAGTGGTTAATGAGATGTCAGTGAGCGGTTGGTAAAGTGTCAGTGAGTGGTTGGTGAGGTGTATAAGGGGTTGGGTAGGTGTCAGTGAGGGGTTGATGAGGTGTCAGCACTTGAGTGGTTAATGAGATGTCAATGAGTGGTTTGTAAGGTGTCAGTGAGTGGTTGGTGAGGTGTCTGAGGGGTTGGGTAGGTGTCAATGAGTAATTGTTGTTGCATGAAATTCACACATAATTTATGATTGTACATATCTTATTATCAGGTGTGTGGTATTGGTTTGATGGGCGTTGGAATCTTTGTCCAGCTCAAGATAGGAGACTTTGCAGAGCTCTCCACTGTCAAGTATGTCACTGGTTCCATTCTGATCATTATTGTTGGAGCTTTTATTGCCTTGGTCGCTTTCTTTGGTTGCTGTGGAGCTGTTAAGGAAAACACCTGTTTCCTGGGAATTGTGAGTATTGAAGAAATAAAAATCATGTGCGCAAGTGCTGTATGCAGTTATAAAGCATGCAGCGGTTGGCAGAATATGAGAGAAGCATAGCAGACACAGCAGAGTGCTTCTCAACACTTCTCGAGTGTTCTGTCAATCCTCAAGTGCTGCACACAGCACAGCAAGCACGTTTTTTTTAATTTCTTTTATGAAATACAAATTACAGTAACTGTAATTTTCAATAGAAATTATGCAACTGACAGTGCACATGCGTGCTCTGTGCTTTCATAAAGCACACACTCCCAACCAATCAGAACGCAATATTTATAACAGTTATTTTATAAAGTACTTTATTTGACATTCTGCAATTACTGGAGAGTCCAAAAATGGCTCATTTGCAAAACATAGCCCAGAAATACATGTAGCACCTTGGTTGTGGTTGAAAATATATAAATATCAAAGTTTTTCTAGAAATTATGGCATACCATCTCTGATTTTTGTTTTGAAAGCCCTAGTGATAGGCAACCCGAAAAAAATATCAGCAACGATAATCTATAATTTCTGATATACTTTTGATATGCTTGTATGTATGTACAAAAGGGTCAGAATTTCTGCATATCGCTGTGTGTATATATAGTATAATATATGAAATATATTACTGTTTAATTATCAAATAATAATGACATTTTTGTGTTTTGATTTCAGTTCTTTGGCATTCTTCTACTCATTCTCTGTGCAGAAATTGCTGGAACAGTCCTCGGGTATATTTACCGTGGTAAGGTACGTATGTGTATCCTCGCTGTTAGTTTATTAAGATTGCATTGATCGTGCACACATAAGAAATTCACTGAGAAATAAAGATAAAGAAATAACCATTTCATTTTTGGCCTAAACTTTTTTCCATCTGGTTATAAGCTTAATCACCCTTATCCTAAATACAACCCCCTGTCCCCAGTTGTATACCAACCATCTAGATGACATGGGCTGGCATTTTTTGTACCCATTAATGATTTGCCCGGTTCATTGTTTGTTTTAGGTTGAAAAAAATCTGCGAACTGATCTCAATAATTCTATTGCGCTGTATGGTGAGAAAGGACAGGACGGCATCACAAAGGCCTTCGATTCCCTCCAGCAAAAGGTGGATACTCTTGTGTTGTACTTGGTACTTCACTGAGTTTAATTGCTGTATTTACATGCATAAAAAAATCCCGGGCATTTGTATCGAACACTCTGTCTTGTGGACCCTGGTTGTATTTAATATTTGAACCAGTTTTACTTGACCTTTTGCAAAGCCCAACAACTGTCACCCAGTTGGCTCAGTTGAGCAGCAGACTTTGGTTTGGGACTAGCACGCAGGCAAAATCTCACAAAAATATATTACATAATGCTATGCCTATTTTGAGTTAGCTGCGGCAGTGCCATGTCTAAGATCAGCCCTGAAGTGGCTTCATGGCTCAAAAAAAAATGAAAACCTAAGTTGTTGATATAATTGCCATATTTCGCTATGACGTCACATCAAAACAATTTATTGTTTAAACACAAAGGATCATGGTTGTCGGAGGGGGTTAAATCAACGGAAATTCACCGGAATTTGTTCTAAAACCTGTATCAATCCACAAAGAGAAGTAGAATAGCCAGCAAATTTTCAGTTTATTTTTTAGTTCATATTAACACATATTATATCTGAAAACCAGGCCATTTTAGATTAAACTGTTTTGCAACTAGCAAATTTTGTTGAATTTTCTATTGGATTCGGCAATTTTATCCCCCATATTAACAAGCAGTGACGTCATAGTGAAATAGGGCAATTGTTTTAGTTGTTGTTATCATTTTTCATTGTTGTTGTTGTTGTTTGGGGGGACTAAATGCGTACCTATTAAACATCAATCAATACTCAGGAGTTATCATACCTCTGATCAACTATTACTGAGAAACAAAAAATTGCATCATCATTTTTTCAAAACAAACAACTGTCAGCATTTTTTTATTTATTTTATTGTTATTTAATAATTATTCTAAAGGAAAAGTGTTGTGGTGTCAACAACTATACAGACTGGCAAAGGAGTCCATTTTCCAATGGCAGCCATGATAAGGTGCCTGACAGTTGTTGTCATGATAAAAAACCTGGTTGTGGAGAAAAATGGAAAACAAATCCCCCAGAATCAGAGATTTATAAAGAGGTAAAGCTAAAGCTAATTTATTTCTATTTCATACTGTATGTTATAATCAACAGGAGGTAATTTTGTTGCACACATGTACCATGTTATGTGCCAGTATACAATGAAGCTTTGACTCATTCAAGTTCACTGAAGTTCTTAAAACTGTTTTATTGCTATGCACTTTCAAGGCTGACATTGGACTTATCTGCCACCAAAACTCATGTTACAACCATTACTCACCCTGAGGGGCTCCTCCATGTGAGGTTCGCTCCACACACACTAACACCACAAAATTCACTATTTAAGACACACAACACAGGTCAACTCCAGGGGGGCGGGGGGACTCCAGGGG